ACTCCATCCCTCCTCCTTCCTGCTGCTGGGAATCCCAGGACTGGAAAACATGCACATGTGGACTGGCTTTCCCTTTTGTGCTGTGTATCTGATTGCCCTCGTGGGAAACCTCACTATCCTGTTTGTCATCCTGACTGAGCACAGCCTCCACCAACCCATGTTCTACTTCCTGGCTATGTTGGCTACCACCGACCTGGGACTGTCCACAGCCACCATCCCTAAGATGCTGGCTATATTCTGGTTCAGCCTCAGGGAGATCAGTTTTGGTGCCTGCCTCACCCAGATGTTTTTCATTCACATCTTTACTGGCATGGAGTCAGTACTGCTCCTTGCCATGGCTTATGACCGCTATGTGGCTATCTGTAACCCTCTCCATTATAACATAATCCTTACTAAGAAGACAGTGTTTATTATTGGTTTTGGGGTGGTTGGGAGATCTTTCCTCTGTGTATTCCCCTTTGTATTCCTCATCCTGCGGCTGCCCTTCTGTGGACACCATGACATCCCCCACACATACTGCGAACACATGGGTCTTGCTCGTCTGGCCTGTGCAAGCATCAGGGCCAACATCATATATGGTCTGGGGACCATAGCCATCCTGGGATTTGACATCATGGCCGTTGCTCTCTCCTACATCCAAATTCTCCGGGCTGTTTTCCAGCTACCATCCCGTGAGGCCAGGCTCAAGACTCTCAGCACCTGTGGTTCCCACGTCTGTGTAATTTTGGCCTTTTACACTCCAGCCCTCTTCTCTTTTATGACACATCGCTTTGGCCGAAATGTTCCTCGCTACATCCATATTCTCCTGGCCAATCTGTATGTGGTTATTCCACCAATGCTCAACCCCGTCATCTACGGAGTTAGGACCAAGCAGATCCGTGAACAGGTGCTCAGAATATTCACCCAGAAATAATTAGTGGGCGAATGCCTCCAGTTTTGTCCAAAGGGTTAAATGTTACCATGTATGCATCTGACAAGTGAGGCAGATCCTTGAGTGTGGTAAGGTCAGGGTCACGTGATGGGAAGGATGTTTTCCTCGGTGAACATCCATTATTCAAGATACAAGAATGGAAGCTTTGAATTCAAGTATCAAGGTGGGTGAGCAACTACTCTACATAATTGTTTTGAAGATGATTATGAGATATGCCCATGATTCCCAGGGACCTAAGTTGTCTAGCTACAGAAGGCATTGTTCCACCTCCACTGTGGGTGCTGGGTCTTCCCTCTCCTTTCTCTGTCTTTCTCCCTCTCTCTCTCTCTCTCCCTCTCCTTTGCCTCCTCTTCCTCCTCTTCATCTGCATCCTCTCCCTTGTTCGGTTACTCACCCTTTTCCTGTCTCTTGCTCTCCCCTCCACAAGTCTGGCAGCTTCATGTGTCTTATTATGGCTTCCTGTGCCTCCTGCCCTCCTCTCTGCCCACCCTCATTAGTACTCCATATGATTTAGCCTCGAAGTGCACACACCTTCCTTCTTATCGGTTTTACTGAGTAGTGAGTTACTTCATGAATGAAGGGAAGGGATTAAGTCTCCGAGGTAGTGAGCCTGCCACAGACCCAGCATGTGGCAGGGGGAAAGGAGACATTTCATGAAAAAGTATTAATCCAAGAGCCTCATCAGGAGCAATTAAGAACAGGGAAGTATAAGTAAATGCAGGAGGCCAGGGAATAGCAGAAGTAAAATGAATTCTTACAGATACTAGAAAATCATTTGCCTAAAACTAAATACATAACCATCTCACTAAAAATGTCCCCCATATGGCTTATAGAAGCACTGCTCATTCAGAGTCAATGATGGATTTACTTTGGTGGTATCAAATATGTCTCTTGCTCCTCTTTAAGGACAACTTCTTAATTGCCTGATACTATTTGTACACTTTGTCTATTAAAAAAACATGCCTTATAAAACTGGCTTTGTGTTTGCTGAGAAAACCTAGGATCTCCACGGCAAAGTATGTGGAGACAGAAACATGTAGTACCACAGACTCTTACTAAGTCTCTAAACAGGAAGAGATTATTTCTATTCAGGAAGTGAACACACACTCATTATCATGTATAAGGTACCAGCTGGTATGGGCTCTCAGGGAGATTTTCTTATGAGGTACACGCAGGCATTTCAAGATAACAGCATGTGGAACATCACAGAGATTGATCAAGCCTAAGTTTTGCAGATTCATGGGTCAGGTACAGCAATATTATTGACACAAGGAGTGAAACAGGGACCAAACCTCGTAGGGTAAAACTTACATCAGATCATGGGACACCTATTTTCTATGTTGAAGGGCTCTCATTTAACTTAAAATAACTAGCTCTATAGCACTGGATGTTTTTGCATGTGTAAGCTGGTGACAAATTATATTGTTTATGGGAAAAAGAGAAGATATGGACAACAGGTTAACACTGGGTTTGACACATACCATGGACTTAAATAGTAAGAGATATCATTATTTTAATTGTCTCTGACCACTGCTATTTTGGGACTTGATTTAAAATGATTGTTTTCACATTATTCTCAAAAGCAATTAGAAAATCTATTTTTGCTGTATTTTTATTTATGACCGTAAGTACGTACTCCAAGGGACTCAGAATGATGTACCTGAAGGTTACTGTTCAAGAGTAAAAGAGAAGTGTCCACAAATATGCGTATGGGCATCAAGTTTTAGTATGAAATCAGTATGATCTTAAACATAGAAATATAATAAAGAAACAAATAAATTACTGAAGATCATATAGCTACTTCATCAAAAGCTGCTATTGTGCATGAGATATATTTTCACATAGTTTACACATATTATTTGCTTCTATTTTTACAGCAATGCTATTTTTCTAGTGTAATTTTTACCCTTCAACAACAAAAGGAAATGAGACATTACTCTGCCTAAGGTCTCACAACTAGTATGACATGGAACCTGGATTCCGAATGAGCCAGTGTGAGTCTGCAGTTCCATTTTTATAACTCTGCTGCAATGTAATGATATGCATAATATATAATGAATTACTTTAAGATATTTTATTTGCATTGGACTCTTTCACTGAGTCAGTGTTAAGGAATCAAATACAAGTTATAAAATTGCATACAGTATACAAAATATCAAAAAAATATAATTTTCACAAAGAAATTTACCAGATTTTAAGTTATTTAGTCCTAAACAATAAGATTTATTCTTGGGGAAGTTCTGTTAATTATACGAAATGTTTTATGTTGCATTTTTATTATCATAACATACTATTGAGCCATGAAAAAATAAAGGAAGAAGGTTAAAAGGAGTAAAATTGAGTATCTACTGTGTAACCATTTCTTCTACTCCACACTGGTCTGGTCACTTTTTAACTTCACTTTTAAATGAAAGCCTTTCATTGACAATGTCCTTAAAAACACATAACACTCCTGTAGTTCACATCTTAACTACTGATCATTACTATTTCATTTCTAATGTCCTAAGAAAAATAAAACATGGATTCATCCTTGGCCCCTGTCTCTCTCTCACAATATGCATGTTCCATCAAGTTCAGGATTGTGGTTATACCTAGAAAAGAAGGGAGCGTTATGGGTATAGAAATGGTCCTGATTTTGCAAGCAATTCTTTTTTTTTTATGTTGGCTGGAAGGTACACAAGTTTTCACATATTCTTCTATGATTTTCTGAACTTAAAAATGTTTTCAGTAATATAATAAACATATGCAAGATATCATAGGTTGTTCATTATGATAAATGTAGTAGGGGCTGTCCTTCCTGGTTACAGGAAATGAATAAAGCATCACAGGCAATAGAAGTAATTATTGTATAAATCCCTGACACATGAGTTTGGATTTCAATGCGGTTTTCCTGTGTGAGAAGGGGAGAACGTGGGGCAAGACAAATGTGGTTTTGAATTTATAATGATCAGAACCACTGTTTACTGACTTCTTGTTTTGTTTATACAGGCTTTATATCTCTTTGTTACATGTAAAAGCAATATTCAAAACAACTCAGGTGGAATTTTGAAGATGCGAGGAGGGATGAATAGCAATAGAAATAGCATGTATTTGAGGACATTTAAAAAATATTGACTACCAAAACCAGTAACCATATGTGTATAAGTTTTAGAATTTATAAGATGTAAATTAAACCAACAATAGCATGTAAGTCAGAAAACAGGCAAACTGAGTACAATTTTTCTAAGATCCTTTATTAACAGAAAACAGTAAGACAATGCTAATTTATATTAAAATTTGAGAAGTTGTATGGGTGCCTGTAGGCCAATGGCTAAAGTAATTATAAAATTATGTATAAAATCAAAGCAAATGGGACTTAAGTAATAATGAAAATTTTAAAAGAAGAAAATCTTCATTGTGAAACATGTATAGCTCAGGTTGAAGGAAAAGATCATAAAGTAAAATAGTACATTTAATAGAAAAAATAACAATAGTTTTGCTAAATGTTGCATGTAATTAGTCATGTATATAAATTATTAAAATTGTCAGATTGCATTAAGTATAAATTATTTGATGCTTGTAAATGAAGGCAAATTTAATTATCAAGATATTAAAAGGTTGAAAGAAAAAGGATGGATGTTTATAAGTTGAGTTTGCTGAGTAATTTTAAACTTTATAAATTCCACAGTCACGGAGAGTGGTATAGCCACCATTTTATACCCAAAATTCTGAAGTCATGAAAATGCACACTCAGAAAATAATTATAATTGTATTTGTAGAAAAAGAATCTCCATGAAACATCAGTTAGTCTGGCAAAAGTGGAAGCATTCAAAAATTTTGATATAAAATTGTCAAACAGATTTTGAAACCAAAAGAAAAATGACATAATCTGCTAAATGAAATTATAAAGGACAAAGAAATGTAGCAATCGATAATAACAAGTGCTCTGAAAAGCAGGTGGAAATTCAACGAATTTGAATACTTACAGAGAAGGTTAATACAGATACACAATTTACATAATTTTTATGAGAAGGCATTTTTCTTAAGTTTCATAAATTGCATATTGAACCTTATATGTATGTATTAGGTGTCATTGTTTTTCCTTTTCTTGTATTTGTAATAACATTTCCTTCACATGGTCATAGATCTGCTTGGTTCTGATTCCATATATGACAGGGTTGAACATTGGTGGCACTACAACATAAAGATTAGCTAAAAGTATGTGGATATAGTGGGGGACATTTCGGCCAAAGCGATGTGTCATAAAGGAAAAGAGGGCTGGTGTGTAGAAGGCAAGGATCACACAAACATGAGAACCACAGGTGCTGAGGGACTTGAATCGGGCTTCATAGGAAGGAAGACGGAAAACAGCACTGAGTATCTGAACATAAGAAAGGGCAATGGCTATGATGTCAAAAACGAGATTACAAATTGCACATAAACCATAGATTATATTGACCTTGATGCTGGCACAAGATAGGCGAGCAATACCCATGTGTTCACAGTAGGTGTGGGGAATGACTTGATTCCCACAGAAGGGCAATCGCAAAACAAGAAATACAAATGGAATCACAAAAGTAAAAGCCCTCACTGACACACCAAGTCCGATCACAGAAACCATCTTGTTGGTGAGAATGGTGCTATACTGGAGTGGGTTGCAGATAGCCACATAGCGGTCATAAGCCATTGCCAGCAGGACTGCTGACTCCATGAGTGTGAATTTGTGGATGAAAAACATCTGTGTGAGGCAAGCTTCAAAGAGGATCTCTCTGAGATTGAACCAGAAGATCCCAAGCATCTTGGGGATGGTAGCTGTGGAAAGACCTAAGTCAATGGTGGCCAACATAGCCAGGAAGTAGAACATGGGCTGGTGTAGGCTTCTCTCAGCAAAGATCACAAACAGAATAGCGAGGTTCCCTATGAGAGCAATCATATACACAACACAGAAGGGGAAACCAATCCAGATCTGGAGTGTTTCCAATCCTGGGATTCCCACCAGCAGAAAGGAGGAGGGGTGAAACTGGGTATCATTGGGAAAGAACATCCTATTTGGTAACGCATAAGTCTTCAGAAGTGGATGCTTATGCAATCTACTGGTCACCAGACTTTGGAGTCCTAAAGATAATGTGAGAACACTCAATTAACTACTTTCATTATCACCACCATCATCAACTGAACCCTTCTTCAATTTTGACCAATTTAGGATATATGGTTTTGGCAATTAATTTCAGTTAATTGAAAGGTAACACACACAGGGATTAACACACAGAATGGATAATAACTGTTCAATTAACACATAGATTAATCAAAGTGCATGCCAAAATATTTAAAAACTGCTTTAAAATGTTAAAACTGGTTCGTCTGTTAGTATTTAGTCATTATTATCACAAAATAAGATAAAGAGTGAAAATAGCAACATCAACTACCAATTATTGGGGTTCTGCTTATTTGCCAGGCTCTTCTTTTTAGACTCTTGCCAAAAATCATCTCTAATATTCAAAAAAATCCTTTAAGGAGAATAATAATTTTACATATTGTACATATAATCCAAGGATCAAGAGTTTACGAGCCTTACTAGAAGTTTAAAATGCTTTCAATGGAATGTCTGGGAAATTCAGCTAGGGAGGAAAGTAGTGAATGGACATGGGAAGAAAACATAAATAAAAGAAAAGACAGTGTGCACTTTGCCTATGTTATATATACAGGTACTGCACACACATACACATACACAATCTTGTTTAAAACTCAGAACATCCATCTGAATAAATATGTTAGTATTTCTAGTTATGGCTGAGGCAATTGTGACTTTAGGAGTTTTAAGATATGTCAAAATGTCAGTAAAAGACTAGAGAAAGGCAAAAACTTAGGGGTACTGGTGGGACAGGGACCACAGGCTTAGACAGAGTAGGGTGAGGGCCTCTGGAAAAAAACAAAGCAAGATAATCCATTGTGGGATTTGCTTTGGCCTGCTGGGGGACCCAGCTTATTTTTCTAACTTTACCCAGGTGCTGCTTTTCTTCCTCCAGCCCTAAACAAATGATTTGCAACTTGAGCAATGTAGCAAGCAAGCCCAAAACAACATAGTAAAAACAGGAAGGATTCCATCTTGAAAATAAGATTGCATCTTAAAACCCAATTAGTTAAAAAGTAAGTTTCTTAACAGAAAATAACTCAGCCCACCTTGGGAGCAAAGAAGGCAGTCTTAAGTGATATGTTCCCACATGGGAAGCTACTATCCTGGGAGGAAATCAGATCGGTAAATTTCTTGTAAATAAACAGGAAAACTAATAAGAAACTTAATAATGTCTCTTCAAAGATAAACATTTTGGGACCACTTAGCAGGTGTACATCCCTAGCCCTTTGTCTCTCAACCACCTATAAAACCCCTCCTACACAGCACCCCTATGTTTAGTGCAGCACTATTTACAATATCCAAGAAATGGAAGCAACCTAAGTGTCCATCAGTAGGTGAATGGATAAAGAAGGTGTGGTACACATACACAATGGAATGCTATTCAGCCATAAGAAGAAAACAAATTCTACCATTTGCAACAACATGGATGGAGCTAGAGGGTATTAAGCTCAGTGAAATAAGCCAGGCGGAGAAAGACAAGTATCAAATGTTTCACTCTTCTGTGGAGTATAAGAACAAAGAAAAACTAAAGGAACAAAACAGCAGCACAATCACAGAACCCAAGAATGGACTAACAGTTACCAAAGGGAAAGGGACTGTGGAGGATGGGTGGGAAGGGAGGGATAAGGGGAAAAAAAGGGGCATTACTATTAGCAGACATAATGTAGGGGGGAGCACAGGGTGGGCTGTACAACACAGAGAAGACAAGTAGTGATTCTATAGCATCTTACTACACTGATGGACGGTGACTATAATGGGGCATGTAGGAGGGACATGAGAATAGGAGGAGTCTAGTAACCATAATGTTGTTAAAGTAATTGTACATTAATGACACCAAAATAAAAATAAAATAAAATGAAATAAACCTAGACAATGCACCACCCTGGGACTCTCTTGTCCCTTCCTGGCATGAGCCAGGAGCTCTGTCCTCTCACTTTATCTCTAAGTAAAATCTCTCACTTGCTCTCCCACCTTGAGTGTTTGTGAAGTTCATTCTTTGACTCTGCAAACAAGAACCCTGGCATCCCTGGGAAATTAGGGGCATGATAATTTAATTGCTTTCAAAGTTCCCTAAGCCCTTATTACATGTCATCATGTAGTTTGCTTATAACATTTCATATGGGAGTATTTCCACAGCATTTACTCCTTCCCATGTGCAGTTATTGTGTAGTAAAAAGTCTCTCTTCTGATCATTTAAAGATTCCATGGCAGCAATTCTAATTATGACCTCATTTTCAGAAAGAAAATCAGGGTATTATCTACACATTGATATAAGAAGGAAAAACACCAAGAAGCATGTGATAAATAGGTTATAGAAGCTAGGAGCAGGAGACACTGTAGCAGGAGACATTCTGTGGCAGTTCTGATAGGAATGGAGGCTATTTCCATAAGGTTCTGTCATTGCAATGGAACTGTGAGTACTTTTAAAAGGTATGACAATGGATAACAAGAGGGTGGAAATAGAATTCAGTCATGGAGGCAAGTTCTTCTGTGAATCCCATGGGTGGAAATCAGCAAAAAACCATCAGTTTGCCATTTTCCAGACATATATACACCAGTTTCTCAGTTAATGGGCAATTTACTTTAAGTACTAATTGCATATTAGTACTTAAAGTACTAAAAGTACTTTTTACTGCTAAAGAGTAAAAAGAAGCTGCTTCTCTGGCTTTTCTAAGTGGGAGAGATTGGTATATTCTGTGATTACAAATAAAGTAAGTGGAGATTTTGTCTCTGTGGTCACACAATCATTTTATACAATGAAGGAGAGGGTAAATATGCACTATGTAAATGGCCAGAAAGTGGTATGAATAAACCAAGTGGAAGGTAAATATAGACAGAACAAAAAAATTAGAGTGGAAATAGGGAATACGAAGAAAGGAACAAAATCTGATTTTTCAGATAGATAAAACTTCATGACAGTAAAGATTTTCTTAGATGACTGTTAAAGAGCAAAATATGTAAAAATCCCAAGACCAGCATATAACCTCTACAGATATATGAAGGTGGGAAGGAATGGTAAGGACAGCCTCACACCTACAACAACGCCCGCAGGAATTACAGGTTAGAGGGGCCAAAGCTGCAGTGAGAGGATGTCTTAAAGGAAGGGTTGTCAGTAACCTTGGTTCTTGACTTCTAAGTCAGGGATCCCTACAGTCTTGTGCTTAAAACATCCTCACCTTTACTCCCTTTACTCCTTCCCAGAGATATTCTATCCACTTAATGTTCCCACAGAGGCACTCTGATATTTTCTCCTTGACTTCCTTGTGTTTGAATTAGTAAAAATAGCGGTGTTATGTCCAAGCTTCTAATGGACAAAATTGTGTGAACAGTAATGTTCATCAAACAGGAAAGTTCCATCAAACAAAAATTTTAAAGCATCTTTTAGCACATAAGTCAGACATATACATAAGGCACTGGTAAGTATTTCATGCATGTATGCATTACTTCACTCATTAAATAAATATTACTGAATGTGTTCCATGTGTCAGAAACTGTTCTGAGACATTTAAAATTGTGGCCTGTACAACTACGTAAAATAAAAAATGTTATGTATAATCTGAGGGAGTGTTTATCAGCAAGGATATTCAAGAAAAACAAATTTCTAAAAATAAATTGATGGAATAAACCATCAATAGTGAAATAAGAGCTATATCAGTATTTGAATTTAATCATGCAAACTATTCTTAAAATTAATAAAGAATAGAATTTCTAACAGTTATAAGATATTTTGATTCATACATACTTCTCAATAACAAGATCAAATGCCTCCCTATGAATGTCATCATTGCCTTGTATCCTAGCAACTGTAACTGTAAAATGTTTTTCTAATAACTGCATTTTGTAAGCTCTAGCAGAATAAATTCTATGATATTCAACATTTCTGATTATCTTTCCATCTGTCTGGTTTCACCTTCTCATTCTCCTTTAAAGACAATTAGTTCTTTTGACCATTCATTAAATGTTGGTGATTCTTAATCCTCAGCTTCAGTTCCCATTATTTCTCATTCAATTTAGACTCTGAACCATCTCATCCACATCCATTGCTTTAATAGCTGTCTTTATAATGAAGACCCCTAAAGGTCACCAGCCCTTAGAGTTGTAACAAATTCATATTCACATAAACAAATTCCTGTGTAATTATGTTCATTACAAATAAAACATTTCTAAAACTGATCCCCAACTCTGCTTTTACCAAACTCCAAATGTAGCTTATTTGTCTATCCCAAAATATGTCATTACCTTTCAGTGATTTGGCCAATTCAGAAATATGATCATCATCACTTTCTCTTCTCCAACTATTTAAAGAAAAACACTTGACTCATTTCCAAAAATATCATTAAAATCAGTACACTTGTCTCCATCTTAACTGGGATGGTTCAAACCATCATCATTTCTTGGCTTAAATACACTGCATTGTTTTCCACTGCTTATGAACATGAGCTCGGCAGTCAGACTAGTTGTGTTAACACATTGAATGGATTCAGGCTGAAATTCAAATGCTTTCCCTAGAATTGTAAGGCCCTTCCTAATTATGATGCTATTCTTTCCCTAAGCTTCATCATTAGTATTTCCACAAAACTAATTCTGTGTCATCTTTTCCTGTCCTATTCCCCTTCCTTCCCTTTGCCTGTCCTGGGAAGTAAGTATGCCCTGGGATCTGGGGGAGAGAAAGACTCACCACACTGAGCACCAGGATGGAATTCTGTCCCCGTTTGTGTCAGTCGGTTCAGTCTTTATTAGGGCACTGTTTTGTTTGTTTGTTTGTTTTCTCTTGGAAGAAGCTTGTCATAGGAAATCCCCTAGAACCAATTTTGTAAAGGACACCAGGTCTCTGAGGATTCTAGTTTCTGATCTGGCACTCAGTCAGGAATAGAAAGCCTTGACTTCTATGGAAATGAAGGCAGGAAAAA